TATTTTCTCTCCCCTAAGTTGCTAAGGGTATTTTATCACAGCAGCAGAAAGGAAATAGAGCAGAAAATTGTACCAGGAATGTGGGTGTTGCCATGATGAACCTGGCCATGTTCCTTTTTATGCTTTTGGAATATTTTATTACAGGATTGTGTAAGACTTTTGAGCTTTGGGCTGTGAAAGCTATTGAATGCACAGAGATTAATGAGCTGCAGTGAGATCTTGGAAGATAATGTGGACTGTGAAGGCCTGGCTTGTGATTTTTCAGAAGGGAATAAGGACTTAATTACAAACTGGACTAGGGGCCATTTATGTGGTATTTTAAGTAAGAATTTTTGTGAGCTTGTCATGCTGGAGCTGAAGAATCAGCTCTGATTAACAATTGATTGGCATCATTGAGGTGAAATTTTCTGTGAATAGGAATGTGTTCCCTCAGATTAGGCACACAAAAGCTGTGGTTCAAGGAAGCTATGTACACATTTTAAGTTAGAAGCTGAGCTAGGCAACATCAAAAACAGTCAGTCACATATTATTGGTTTTTGAAGGCATGAAAATTACAGGATTAAACAGGTCATAAAAAGAAGGCGATGCTTGGCACTTGTGGCAGTGTTGAAATTCCTGCCACTAGTAAAGGTGAAGCCTCAGTTTTAGTAAATGTATCAGAATCTTGGAGATGCCAAGGAACATGAGAGGCCCACCACCAACAGCAACACACATGGAGTGGAGTCAGCTTGAGACTTTATAAGACACATGGTCTGTGCTGTGGATGGCAAAGCTGGAGAGTCTAACTTCTCAAGTCTTCTGGAACCTCTAAGAACATGAGTGAATCCCTGATGATAGATATTAAGCTAAATTGCAGAACTTCTTTGTTTTTTGCTTAAGTGTGATTGCTGTATGTTACAGTTCTTCCCTTTTAGAATAAGAAAATACACATGACTTGCTTTTGGTTTTTTAGGACCCTCACAGTTGGGAGATTTTGAACCTTTAAAGTCATTGAACTTTTAAAGTTTTAGAATTTTTAAAGAGTGTGGGACATTCAGAGTTGGAGTGTGTTTTATATTATACTTATATGAGAGCTTGAGAACAAGAAAAAAAAGGTTTAATAGCCGGGCGGTGGTGGCGCACGCCTTTAATCCCAGCACTCAGGAGGCAGAGCCAGGCGGATCTCTGTGAGTTTGAGGCCAGCCTGGGCTACCAAGTGAGTCCCAGGAAAGGCGCAAAGCTACACAGAGAAACCCTGTCTCGAAAAACCAAAAAAAAAAAAAAAAAAAAAAGGTTTAATAGTCACATGTTTTTGTGTCACATTGACAAGGAGTATAGTGTTCTGGTTAGTCTTGATTATTAATTTAATGAATCCAAGTGTCATCCAAAAGGAGAAGTCATAATTAAGGAATTGTCTATATAAAGTTACTCTGTCGGCATGCATATGAGGGGTTGTCTTTATTAGTAATTGATGTAAGAGACACAACAACCTGTGCCCAACACCATTCCTTGGTCAGGAAATCATATGCTAAGCATGGACTTTTGAGTGAGCCCGTGAACAGCATTCCTCTATGATTTCTGCTTTCAGATTTCTGCCTTTGGTTCCTACCTTGTCTTCCCTCAGTGATGGATTGTGACTTGCAAATATAAACAAAGTTAAACCCTTTCATCCTCTCATTATTTCTGGTCTTTTTTTTATCATAGTAACAAAAAGGAAACTAGAACACTCAAAATCTGAGCTTCCATAAAACAATAAGAAAAAATATGTATCTCAGTAAATGTTCATATAGTAACATCATTTTCATGATTTCAGTTTTTATAGTTATAATACCACAGTCATCTGTGCTCTAAAACTATAAACTATTAAATTACATAAATCAACAATTTACAAGTTTCAAATTGCATGCCATTCTGAGTGGTTGATGAAATTTCATGCTGTCATGTTCTGCCTCACATGAAATGTGAATAATCCCTCTGTTCATTGTATTTATGTTGTATATGCCACTTACCTTTTAGCTATTTTATAGTCATCATTCTCATTAGATAGTGTTGGAATCACACTACTTGAAAGCAAGTAACTGTCGTTGTGTTTTACTCTTTTGGGGGGCCCACCACCCAGCTCCCATATGAATACACAGAGACTTTTTCTTATTTATGAATGCCCAGTGTTAGCTTGGCTTGTTGCTAGCCAGCTTTTCTTAAATTATCCCAGCTACCTTTTGCCTCTGGCCTTTTTCCATTTTCTTACTTCTGTGTATCTTACTCTTACTCTGTGGCTAATTGTGTAGGTGGGTGGCTGACCCCTGGATTCCTCCTCTTTCTCTGACTCCTTTTTCCCCCAGATTTCTCCTATTTATCTTCTCTGCCTGCCAGCCCCACCTATTTCTCTCTCCTGCCTCCCTATTGGCTGTTCAGCTCTTTATTAGAACATCAGGTGTTTTAGATGGGCATAGTAACACAGCATCACAGAGTTAAACAAATGCAACATAAATAAAAGTAACACACCTTAAAATAATATTCCACAAGTAAACTTTAATTAGTAGCCTAATTCTATGCAACAATGTTTGTAGCATTCAGCTCACTTTATTTCATCATTTGGCAAGGTGTCATCCAATCATCACAACAGGTGTGAGTATAATTCAACCAAGTATTGAGATAGAGAAGATATAAAACATGTCATAGCATATTTTATGATTTTTATCAATATGCTACTGCATCTAATTTATAAATTGCAATCAATTGTGGGTAAATATGGCAGGAAAACAAAGCATACACAGGTCTTTGTATTATTTATGCTTTTAAGCATTAAATGAAGGTCTTGGATCTTATTCCTTCCTGATAAAGGAGACTATTAGTTATGCTTTCATTACTATTTCTGGGTAAGAATTTTAATTTTGCTGACAGCACAGCAAGTCTTGGATATCTATGCTTGGTCATATTTAATCTATCTTTTCAACTTAAGATACAATAAAATTTCTCAAAGACATTTGTAAAGATTATTATAGATTGACTAAGACATTAAGCCTATGAAATGCATATAAATTTTTTTCCCTTATACACAGTTTAAAGAGATTAAATTAAGGATCTTGATGTTACAAAATTGATGCTTTCTAAACCAATTTGAATTTAAGAAATAGAATTGCAAACTAGGCTGTGTGTCTCATAGAAATGAAATGGGTAAGAAAATAGTATTTTAACAAGAATAAAGTAACATGATATTTAAACTGAGAGGGCTTGCAGTTTATAGTTGGATTCTCTAGTTTCTTGGGCAGCACACGTTAAACTCACATTGAGAAAGGAACTGATTCTTGCTGCTAACCTGAAGGCTGAAGATACCAACTTTTAAGATTTCCTGCAGCTCTAGTTAGTGTGGTGGCTGGGAAATAGGACTTGGGTTCTAGGAATGCATGACTTAGTCTTGCAATGAAATGTGGCATTTACTTGGATATGTCTGATGAATTGGCTCTTTGGAAGAGCTGCATTTATATCTTTACATGAACTCTAGGTCTTTGCTTTAAAAAAATGCCATCATCATGTAAATGCATGAAAGTGTTAGAATAGCTTATTCTTGATGCTATATTTTAGTTTTTTGATATAATGATTATGATGCACCAAGGGAATGGATTTTGATTTTGACTTATAAGGTGGAGCATATTTTAAAAGACTTTTGTTAATGTAATTGAATTAATTATTTAAAAAATATTCAGATACTTGAGGCTGTGAGAGAGCAAAAAAAAGTGACTGTCAAACTGCAATTTCAGCTTTCTCATATTTAATAAACCCATAGTGATAGACAGCTGGCTATGAGCAGTCTTCAAATGTCTTGCAAAGAAATTTGTGCTGTCATGGGCCTACAATATATTTGAACTGTGTTCTGACTTGCTACTTTTCAAATTCAGTCCTGAAGCGCTCAATTATACTATTTTCATCTTGTAATAAAAAAGAAAAGGAACGGTAAATTGGTGTGTTCCAAAGACTTCTAGGAGAATGAACAGATGTTGTTCCAAGAGCACAAACTTGCCCCTGTAAATGGATAAAATTTTAGGTATCTGATGTACAGCTATAAAAGGCAACTATATCAGGTGATAGATGTGTTAACTTACTTGATGGTGATAACCATTTCATAATTTATGTGTGTACCAAAGTACCATATTATATACCATAAGTATACACAATCTGTCAATTTTCTATTTGTAAAATTGGAAAAGGGATGACATCTTGGGGGAAGTAAATGTATATGCAGTTAATTTAAAAGGAAATATTTTGCCTTTTGTAAATTCGAACAGTATGCTAATGTCTTAGTAACCTGAACAAACCTTTATAGTAGACATACTATCTTTGTATCTTTTATTGACACTGTACTTTCTATCAATCAATATAGGCAAATGCCTTACATTTTTTCCTGAAGTATGTTTTTCAGGTTTTTGGAAGATGGTTATAATATCACAGATTTTTAGAGGTATACAATTGATACAATTTTGTTTGTAAAGAAAATCATCGAATAGACCACAGTGTGTTGCAGCAGCGGATATTTTAAAATGTTGATTTCAGTAATGTGTATTTAAATAAATTGCTAGCAAAATGAATAGATTGTTTTCAATATTTAAAGCAAAGCAGGGTCTCCACATTTAGAGAAATTCTAAACCTTGAGTGAATATATGACCTGAAATCATCCTGAGAAGCTTATGGAAACATAATTTGGGCATTACTGATTTTGATTTAACTTACAAAGTACAATTTATTGAAATATGAAATGCAGATCTTGTTTATGGCATTCTTTCCTTATGAGTAATTCATTGCCTCAAATATATATGACAAAAAGGTGCATAAGAGCCAGATACATTAGTTCATACCTGAAACCCCACCGTTAGGAAGGCTAAAGCTAGAGGGTGTCATGAGTTCAAGGTTAGTCAAAAATATATGGCACAATTCTATCTATCTAGAAACAGATGTACACAAAATTCTTATATTGTATTACTAAATCTTTTAAATTATGTTTTCCTTCTTATCTCTCCTTTAAGGAACGGCCTTTAAGAGCTGGAAGATGAAAGTTCCGATTCCGCATTTGATTCTCTTATATGCTACTTTCACTCAGAGTCTGAAGGTTGTGACCAAAAGAGGTTCTGGTAAGAAGTGCCTCTTTTAGTTTTCGTTATTTTTATCATTGAAAGTGACTGCAACCTGTACACATGTGTTATTTGTGAGAGGTTGAGAAGCATTAGGAATCCATTTTATGTAGATATCATTGGTATACAGGGAAAGAGTGAAGAGTATTAATAGGCAATTGTAAAAGTGCTAGTATATGAAAATTAATGTGGCTTATCTTGTATATTACCATGAATTTGAAACTTGAATAGGTTCTATAACAAAAGTTTGCATTTAGATTCCATTAAACAATGTGATTTTTTTTATGTTCTCTTACAGAGCATCATTGTTTTATGGAACATTACTGTGGATTATTTCACCTTACTTCTTAATAGTATTATTTCCTTATTAACGATGTCAATAGTGAATTCTTTTAAGGCCTATACTTTAGCTGTTCTGCTGAATTGCTTAGAAGGATTTAAAGTAAAAATAGTGTCATTTAAGAAAATGATGTGGCATTTACCCTAATGTTTTTTTGCAAGAAAAAGAGTATAATGGGAATGAAACGTGATGGTGACTCAATTATTGTTGAAACCCAGACTGTTTACCTGTTATTAGGCACCATTAGTGTCCAGTTGTCCCTTCATAGTTGAAGTTAAGGAATCATATAACGCCCAACTGAATACATATTGAGGTGAAGTTCTGTCTAGTAAGCTATTGGTATGATTTATCATTGCCATTTTCCAACTTCACATGGGGTTATTTTAGTTTTGAAGGAATAGCTTTTAGGCATAAAGGAAGAATAGAGGAACTGAGTTGAAATGCTCCAACTACAGTGTGTTCTCTCTGAGGTCTCAAGAGACAAAAGCAAAGATTGAGGTGAGTCTCAAAAGGTTGCAGTGTTGTGCCACCATGATTTGGATAGTATAGCATCTGCCTCATGTTGATGAGATAGTGTAAACTGCCCCATGTAGAGGAAGTGAACAGCATTTCTGCTTTCAGGAACCCCCTTCTGCAGATAAAGTTTGGGGAGCAATTAGGAAAGGATTTGTGTGTGGATTCAGTGCAAGGTTGTTTTACTGAGCCTATTAGTGACCCTAGGACATTTTGATGAATTCAAATTCATTTTAGTGATGATGCTACTTTTCAATGTCATTGCTGTGATTGTGGGAAATATAGAAAAATAGTGTTTGTAGTTTTGCACTTTATTTTATCTATTTTTATGGACATGTTTAAATGCAAGAAAATAATAAGCTAAGATTGATTGTTGATTAAATCTTAAAAGCTTCATTTTCCTTGTTATTATAGCTCATTACATAAAATATGCTTTTTTCAGTTCTTTCTGCATATGTCAGTTGTATGATTTATTGAAATGCAAATGTGACCTTTTCTCATCAGAAAATAGTGGTGACAGGTCTATTCTATATAAGTTCTGCTTACCAGCAAGACTTTTTTTGTTTTTTAATCTATGTTTGAGAAATATGGAGCAGAACTAAAAATGTGGAACAACTAGACAATTCATAACTCTTGCTCTAGACACAGAGAAATCTTAATGACTTGTTTCAAATGTAAACTTCATTTTAATGACATGAACCTAAAATAGGAGACTATTATTAAGATGATATCCTAAATTAGGCTGGAATTCTAATGTTTCACACTCTTCAGTTTATTAATACAATTGTCACATACCTACTTCTCACCTCTCAAACCAAATGTATCTTTATATAATTATACAAAACAACAAAGAAGGTAAGTGAAACATTTGCCTTGCTAATTCTCATCTATAATTTATGTTGTGACTGCTTCCTCCCAATGTGAGTTGTGTTTAGATTCATGTGAATGTTAGTCTGTTCAGGTGGTTTTTGAGTAATAAGTGTAAAACTTGAGATTCAATTTTTTTCATAAACTTTCCTAGCACTAACTCATTTTAACTATGTTTGTTACCATGGCTGCCCTCTTTGAGAGAAATAGATATATGTAGCTTACTGAATAGAAATATTACCGATCCCCATAGATCAAGAAGAGGAGGGCCCTTAGCATCTTCACCTTAAAAGATAAATGGTTCAATCTTCATATCCATCCCACCTGACAAAACCAGTGGCACCAAGGCCTGAGAATCAGAATCAACTTTTGATGTTTGATCTTGCATATTAATTAAGATGGCTATTAATTTCTATTATTCTTATTATTTACTTTTGTTTTGATTTTATGAATCTTTACAAGGTTCAATAAACAAAATTCAAGATCCAATGATTTTCAAGTGTGTTATACTAGAATATTATTTTTAATTCACTGTGAGCACAAGAAAAAGAAGTAGATACTTTGATAATTAACAACATACAAAACACAACTAAAATACACAATGTAATGTTGAGTTTTATGGCATGTTAATTGTGTGTAGTGTTTACTTCAGACTAACATGTGTGGTCATTCCATAAAAATTTAGAATGAAATATTTATTTCTCATTAGCAAAACTAATTGGAAAGCAATAGGAGCTCTTAGAGAAACAGAGATGCATTATTTTTATCACCTTGGCTTACACCCCTACTGCTATTCATTTAAGGTACAAATTAAAACTAATAAGGTTTATAGCTTCCTGAATTGAAATATTCAAAATACAAATTTATGTTTCATTTTAAGTAATCATTTCTGATACGTGTATGCTATGATAAATAAGGATTGAATCTGGTCTCTCAAGTAATGGTTGAAGGTTGTGTATATGTGGAGAATCAAGAATTTTTCTGGGAGCAAATATTCAGCTGTTACTATACAATAGATTGTTTTTCTGAAACAATTTTACATGTAAAAATCTATGCAATACTTGAAGGGACAGACTACTACTATGGGTAAATGTGTGAAATGTCACAACAATTTAGTAAGTAAGCATCTGAGTTACTATCAATTGTTGAATTTTTTACAAAAGCATATAAAGCAAATGTTTGCTTTAAGATTCTTTATGTCCAAACCAAATTATACAGTGTAGCTTAATGTTCCTGTTTGACTTTCTCTTGCCTTTTTCAACTTCAATCACCACCTTTCCTCTTCTTCTCTAGTCTTCATTTCCCTATTTTAACCTTCTCTTCTACTCTTTTGTCCCTTCCTGGGATCCTGTCCCCTCATTTCTATGTCCCATCTTCTCTATTTCCATGCCTTTTGCCCTTCTTTGTTTTATTCTAGGGTAGTTTGTTGGTAAAAATAACTCAGGTTGATATTGTTACTGCTTCTTTGTAGAACTGATTTAATCAGTCTTGTGCATGCTAGGCAAGTGGTATATCACAGAAACACATCACACATCTTCATCATTAAAATTTGTGATCCTGAATAGTGCTAAGATTACAGGTGTACACCAACACATACAAGTACTTTCTAACCTTAAGAATATTAGAATTATTTTGTCCAGAAAGGTAAAGCCCAGCATGTTCTTTTCTAATATATAAAACAGCAATAACAAATCCACCATGGTTCACTGATATACCTTTTTGCTTTGTTTTTCCAGTCAGTCATATTTTGTTATTAGTTTTATGAGTTCTTGGAGAATTTCATATTATGTATTTTTGTCATATTCACTTGTTACACAACTCTTCCAAGATCCACCCTTCCTTTCTTGTCCACCTATCTTTCTATACTTTTATATTTTTGAAACCCCCTAGCCATTGAAATATCTTAATAAGTGAATGATTAAGTGAATTAGTAAGTGACGAGTAGTTTTAGTAGTCAATGAAAATGATACAGGACCAGCACAGTATTACAAAGATAATAGGAAAACAAAAGAGAGGCATTTAAGAAAACCTGTAACTGAGTGTGGTTCTAGACACTTTTAATCCCAGCACAAGCCTGATCTGCATAATGAGTTCCAGGCCTATGGTGTCTATACACAGAACCCAGCCAAGAAAGAAAGAAAGACAGACAGGCAGACGAAAAGAAAGAAAGAAAGAAAGAAAGAAAGAAAGAAAGAAAGAAAGAAAGAAAGAAAAAGGAAAGAAAAGAGCAAGCCTGTTTCTATTTCTTAAAAAGAGATCCTTATAATGTATTGTTTGACTAGTGAAGGAGAAAAAAACAACTCAGGATAAGCAACACCTAGAACATGTTATGTTGAGGGTTTGAATGAAGACAAGGAACTTTTACAAACCATAAGTGTTTTTGAAGTCTGTTAGAAAGAAGTGACTCTTCAGATATTTCTGTAACAGAATTTTACTGGACTCAATGCTGGTTTAAAGTGGCAACAGTATCATTGTGCCTAGAGTTGGCTTTTGATCATATTGATCCGAAATTGCCATCTTGTAGAGTATAACTCTTGATGACAGACACATGAAAAGTTGAGCTTAGAAAAAAGTTCTCATAGTTATTAGAGCATATAGAGAGGAATAAGTGCCCATGTTACATAAATCATGAAGTTCATATTATTCTCGAGAAGATTAATGATACATAAAAATTCCCTAGAGCAGTAAGCTGTTACACAGTAAGAGTATTGCTGCAGGGAGTTGATCTTCTCTTTATTCTAAGACCTGCCAAGAGACACCTGTTTGTGTGAAATGATTTAGAAAAAATTCTTACTGACAGCAAGAGGAAGACAAGCCTCAAGAGGTTTATTAAAACTACAGAGTTTGGGCCCCAATAATTTCTAAAAGTAAACAGTAGAAAAATATCCAAAGACAGTTTAGGTTCTAAATTTTGTTTATATGTGAATCTTCATTTCTTTAAGTAATACATATTACACTACTAAACAAGTGAAATTTAACTGTATAGAAAAGAAAAATCCATGTGGACTATTTATACCTCATGCCAATGTGATTTATGTATGTTCTCTTGGGTATTCCTGGAAGTCAATGAACTTAATTCTATATGATTAAGAGACAACTTAGTCCCTCAGCATCTGCCTTTTGTTATATTACCATGTGCTTCTTCTCTGTTTGTCAAATAAGTCAAAAAGTATGAGGAATTTTTCTCTATTTTCCTTTGGGATAGTTTGTAAAACCAAACTTCTGAGCTTTTCCTTACTTTTTAAAGTTAAAAATGTAGAATATTTATTGGAAAATTTTT